CTTACCTATAAACTGGTTTCTCTCCCCGAACATGCTGGGGCACAGCTGACAAGAGAACGGAGTCTCCGATTATGATCCCTGACCTCGTGCTGATGGCAAGTATCCTCCTCCTTAAAAGCAATATCACAATATTTACACATAGAAGCGTATTGAACTCAGTCTCCTGACTCGCATTATCAACAGCCTGGTCATCACCATCGCTGTGCCCACCTTCTGATTCATCAGAAGAATTGTAATCTAAAGCTGGATCGACTACCATAACTAAATTATCTACTTTGTTAATTGTTTCATTTGTAGGTTGATTGTTTATTTTTGTTATCGTTACATTATTATATTGGCCAGTGATATCGACTTGGTTAGCTTGTAGTCTTTGTTTCAGTTCTTCGCTGAGGCTGCAGGATGATGGGTCGTTGGAGAGGCCTTCTTGTTTCAGTTTGTTTTCGTTTTCTTCGTTTTGTAGTTGTACGAGGTGTAGAAGTTTTGCTTCGTTTACTAGACATTGTTGGCGGAATTTGGTGGTTTTTTCAGTCTTGTAGAGGCAGCGGTGGCAGATTTTTGAGGGGAGACCATCGTTTTCATAGAGCTAAAGAAAAATAGACATAGAAATAAATGAATAAATATATAACAACTTAAAAAATTTAAAAAAATCCCAAATTTTTATAATCTCGTACGATATATTAGTTGCTTTTTGGCAATTATAATTTCTAAAGTACATCTTTCTTACTATAATTTAATAGACATTATTGTTTATGTTCAAATCTTAGATGAATTAATTTGTAAAATCTTGTTCATATGATGCACTCTTCAATCTAACATCAACTTGCATAAATATTCCATATCCGATGCCAAACAAATGAATTTCTGACACGTGAAACAAAATTCTAAATCATTTTTTTAATTTGTAGAAATATTTTTTTTTGTATTGTAAAGTAAAGTAATCAAAATGGGACATGTATAAGTTTAAGTATATGCAATTTTGGACTTGTTGCGTTATTTATTAAACTGATGAATTATATAATTTCATCTGTCGACATATACTTTTGACTGTATTTTATTTTATTTCAATTTCTGCCACATCTCGGCTTCTTTCGGCAATAATGTAGACCATAAATTTTCGTTGTATATTATATTCTAATATTATCTAGGCTCATAATTTCAGCTAAATTCAAATTTCAAGTGAATTGACATTTCTAGTAGTCGACAGTTCAAATGTTTTCAATATCAATGATCTGCGTTTTTTTTTTGTAATTTTTGCCATGTATTACTGCAATATTACTATAATTTTATCGTGTATTCAATCTTAAAAATTTCCTTTGACAAACTCTAAAAAGAATGATCAAAATCCGAATAACCGTTTAGGCAGAAGTATCACATCATACACCCGTACAGAAGAATTTTATATATAAGATATAGTTTATATTATATTCATACGTTTCGGCCAACATCGTACCCTTCATTAGTGAAAATTATTAATAATAATTAAAACTACATATTTGAATAATACGTAACAATTTAAGTAAATAAAATAATTAATCCAAAACACATTATTTATTATTTTATTTACTTAAAATATATTGTTGTTTAATTCGCATTAACTAAGTTCAAAATTTATTCAAATTAATTATTTATTGGTAATTTAATAATTTAATTTGACAAATACCTAATTTTATTCAACAAGATGTAAATGTTGCAAAATGGTGTAAATCGTCTGAATATTTTAGAAATCTGCCCGAAAATGTAGATTTTCTGAAAACGCTTTTGTTTGTCTGAAAATGTTGCAAATTGTCTAAAAATGTTGTACTTTATCTAAAAATGTTATAGGTTGTCTGATAAAGTTGCAAAGTGTCTGAAAATGTTGAATGAAAGTATTGTAAGTTGTCTGAAGATGTTGTAAATTGTCTGAAAATGTTGTAGATTTCCTAAGTGAAGTGTTTGTCAAGCAAATGCTGTCAATTGTCTGAAAATGTTGTAGATTATTTGGAAATGTTATGAATTATCTAAAAATGTAAATGTTCCCACAATGTTGTCTGGAGAGGTTTCTCTTTGTCTGAAATCTTTGTAAGTTACCCAAAATGTTGTGAAATGTATAAAAATGTTGTAGATTGTCTGAAAATATTGTAGATTGTTTTAAAATGTTGCAAAATGTTTAAAAACTTTGTAGATTGTCTGAAAATGTTGTGAATGGTATGAAATTTCCAAAAATGGTCTAACAATTTTGTAAATAGAGTACAAATTTTATAGATCACGTGAAACAGATTGTCTGAAAATATTGTAAGTTGTCTGAAAATGTTGTAGATTGTATGAAAATGTTGCAAATTATTTGAAAATGTTGCAAATTGTCTAATGAACTTGTAAAGTTTCTGAAAATGTTTGATGAAAATGTTGTAGATTCTCTGAAAATGTTGCAGGTTATCTAAAATTGTTGCAAATTGTCTGAAAATTCTGTAAATTGTCTGAAAATGTAGATAGTCTGAAGATGTGGTAGATTGTCTGAAAATGTTATAAAATATCTGAAAATGTGGCAAATTGTCTGAAAATGTTATAAAATGTATGAAAATGTTGTAGATTTCCTGAAAATGAGAATTGTCTGAAAATGTTATGAAATGTCTGAAAATGTTGCAAATTGTTTGACAATGTTGTAAATGATCTAGAAATGTTATATTTTTTTTTTTGAAAATGTTGTAGATTGATTAAAATTGTTGCAAATTGTCTGTTGATGTTGTAAGTTGTCTGAAAATGTTGTAAATTGTCTGAAAATGTTGTACATTTCCTGAAAATGTTATAAAATGTATGAAAATGTTGCAAAATTGTATGAAAATGTTGTAGATTTTGTTGTAAATTGCCTGGAAATGTTATAAATTTTTCTGAAAATGTTGTAAATGTCTGAAAGTACTATAAAATTGTCTGAAAATGTGGTAAATTGTCTGAAATTGTTATAAATGATCTAGAAATGTTACAAATTTGTCAGAAATTGTTGTAAATTGTTTGAAAATGTTGTAAATAGTCTGAAAGTACCATAAAATTGACCGAAATTGTTGTAAATTATGAATTGTCAATTAAAAGAAACTAAGCTCATTCTTAATATATAAAATTAAAACATATTTTTAAATAATGTGTTAAATAATCTATCATGAGTCAAATGGAAAATATAATTAAGAATTCATCAACATATTAACACAATTTTTCAAAAGAAATACATTTAGCAAAAAAATAATTCCCATTATTTTTTTGACATTAGACATATTGCATGTTTCAAAAATTCGTATTTCGCGCCAAAAATATCACTAGTGTCCTTTTGACATTTAGACAATACTATATTAATTATTAGGCATTAAAACGATCAATTAAAATAAACTGAGCTCAATCTTAATATATACATTTAAGATAGAATCTGATATTCTGTTTTAAATTGAAAACATAATTTAAGAATTTAATAAAATTTCCGAAATTCGTCAACATATCAATATAATTTTTCAAAATAAATACATTTAGCAATACAATACTTCCCATCATTCTTTTGACATTTTACATATTGCATGTTTCAAAAATTTGTATTTCGCGCCAAAAATACCACAAATATCTTTTTGACATTTAGACAATACTATATTAATTATTAGGCATTAAAACGATGAATTAAAATAAACTGAGCTCATTCTTGATATATACATTTAAAATAGAATTTGATATTCTGTTTTAAATGGAAAATATAATTAAGAAATTCATCAACATATTAACACAATTTTTCAAAAGAAATCCATTTAGTAATACAATAATACCCTTTATTATTTCCTTATCTATGATAATCCCCATTATTCTTTTGATATTTGACATATTGCATGTTTCAAAAATTCGTATTTCGCGCCAAAAATATCACAAGTGTCCTTTTGACATTTAGACAATACTATATTAATTATTAGGTATAAAAACGATAGATGTAGTCAAAAATTGCATTATTATTATTAAATTTCTGAAATTTCAATCAATTCGCAAATTATGTTTATAAATAATTTAGTGTTACCAACATCAAATGTCCAATCGTCCGCCATTATGGAAACTAATTAAATCAATATAAAACAAACCTCATGTCTAAAATTAAACACAAATAAATATTTAAAATTGATATTTTCAATATCAATTACCTGCACGTGAAAAAATTCCGTAATCCTAGCCGCCAGAGGATCGAATTCTCCTGTGTCCATTACATTATTGAAAATACAGCTCATGACTCCATCTTGCTTGAGACACAACCTACAAATCGCTGCGAATTCCGCAATTAAATAACCACTCATTTTAATAAGTCACCAGTTTTTTCGTGTTAAGGAGGCACCGGGGAGGATATGGCAAGTTTTGTGAGAGTATTATAAATGTGATTTAATTTAGTGAATGGAGCACTGGTCGTGGTGTGCACCGTGTAATAGCCCCGCTCTGACTAGTCGGCACTGAATTGTATCGGAGCCTCGGCCGACGGCCATTTTGATTGTGGGGCCTCACACGGGGGAGAAGCCCGGAGAGAAAGGACAGGCGATGGATTGACAGGGTTGAAATTGGGATATAGGACTTGTTAAAGAATAGTTTTGTATAAAAATGAATTGTTTGTGCTTGGTTAGGATTTTTGGTTAAGGGTCCTTGATTAAGAATGCAACAGGATAGTAAAGGAAATTTGGCGCGCTTATTAAAACCTATCTTCCTTTACAAATTGATGATATTGTTTGTTTTGTGCAGTATTTCAGTTTGTGTTAATTGTTATTTTCCCGAAGGAGAAGTTTGTTTTCGCCAAAAAATCTGATTTGCTAATTTTATATTTTCTTCTTTATGTGTGTGGGTCTGTATGTGAGCCGATTTTTGACCCTTTGTGTACGTTTATTCAAACACCTGAACCAATTTCAAAATTTTTAAATCTATTCGATGTATCTCGTTGAGGAGTAGCGTATATCAATTTTGTGCGACGATCAGCCAAGCCGTTTTTTTCTAATTTGCATAAAATTTCAAAACTTCGTGACCGTTTTAGCTCTCAATTTTGAATCGATTTTAAAAAATGAACTAGTGGGGCGAATGGCATCGTGCCTTAAGGCAACTTGCTGGAACTTCCCGTACCAAAAATTATTTTTTTTAATTAACATTTTTGAAAAAAATTTACTTTGAAAAAATTAGATTTTTGAGAAACTATAAATTTTTGAAAAAAAATTTTTTTGAAAAATACTTTTTGAAAAAAGATGTTTTCTTTATTTTAAAATATTTGGAAGTTCTGAACTTTTTTTCAAATCGTACTGCTTTCTGCATAGAGACGAAATATCAAAGCGCGTAAGCTCCGCGTCGCCGTCTAACGCGTAAACATTGGTACGGAACCCATAGGAATGTAAACAAAATTTATACTTATTGTTAAAATCTCTATAACCATATGATAATTTGATGTGCATATGTTTAATGATCATTTTTGCCCGCCAATTTTTTTACTAGATCTCTGAAACCTCTAGAACTGCCTTCCCAAAAATTTTATCAGTTCTTCATCTTGTCAATACAAGTAAAATGTTTTTTGAATTATTAAATTCGAACGCTCCGTTCTCTTAAACACTGAGTTACCGTTTTTGGCACTTTTTGCCCCGTATCTTTGAAACGGCTAGACCTGCCTTCGCCAAAAACTAATCAGCACATCTTCTTATCAGTACGAATCGAATGTTTTTTGAATTACTCAAATCGGTTGATCGGTGTTTCCGAAATCATCGACGAAAATTTGTATCCGAACACACATACACACACGCACACATACATACACACACACATACATCAATTTTTTCTAAGGTATGCCAAAATGTTCAGAAGATTTTGAAACGTAAAGATATATAAAAATTTTCATTTTCGATTTTTTTTGCGATTACTTTAACTTAAATTGAAATCGGTTGAGCCGTGTTCCTGAAATCGACGAAAATTCTTATCCGCGCATACACACACACAGGGGTTAATGGTTTTTGATTAAAAGTGCAACAGGATAATAAAGGAAATTTGGCGCGCTTATTAAAACCTGTCTTACTTTACAAATTGATAATATTTGCTTTTGTGCAGAATGTCAATTAGTCATAATTGTTATTTTCCCGAAGGTTAAGTTTGTTTTCGCTAAAATTGCTTTTTTATGTTTTCTTCTCGACCTAATTTGAAAAAGTATATGTGAACAGATTTTTGGTCTATTCGGCGACGTTTTCTCAAAAAACGGCTGGACCGATTTCAAAAATTTTAAATCCACTCGATTTACCTCAATGAGGACTAGGGTTTATCAATTTTGCGCGTCGATCAACCAAGCCGTTTCTTTGTTATTTGTAAAAAGTCACTCAAAACCCGTTTGAAAGATATTGCTCGGATATCGTGCTAAGGGTGCGTCATTAGTCACGTGATCAATTTTTTAAAGGATTTTTGAACCCCCCTTCCCCATGGTGATATTTAAAATTACCCTCCTACCCCGCCAAACATCCCGAATACTTCTAGTTACGAGAACAAATTGTAAAAAATTATTTTTTTTGAAAATGTCTTTTTTTTTAAATTTAGGTAATAAATTATTACACATGAAATCTTACTATACCCCTCCCATCCCTACTTGATATTTTGTGACTTTTTGTCAAACCCTCCTTTCCCCTAAAAAACCCCTTTAGACCGTTTTTTGTAATTAACTGTTCAAATATTTTTTTATGAAATTTTTTACGTTGATAAATCGTCGAAGTTCATCAAAAATGACCAGAGTTTTTTTTTCGTGCTGATTACTTTTTGTAATTAAATAATTTTGTACGGCTGGATCGTATGTATATTTTTGAAAATTAAAAAAAAAAATCTGTGAATTTTGAAATTTGCAATCTTGGTACGGAACCCAACAAAATTGTAGCAAAATAATTAGTACTCATTTTTAAATTATCAAAAACTGATAGTTTGATGTGCATATGTCTAATGATCATTTTTGACTCCCAAAAGGCATTTTTTATACTCTTTTCATTCGACCTCTGAAACCGCTATGCCTTGCCTGACTTCCCAAAAATGTAATCAAATCTTCAGTCAAATTTAATCAAAACAAATAAAATGTTTTTTGAATCATTCAAATCCGATACCCCGTGCTCTCAAAAGCTCGATATGTATTTTCTGCACTATTTGCTCCGTTTCTCCGTAACGACTGGACCTGCCTTTGCCAAAAACCAATCAGCACATCTCCGGTACGGAAAGTTCCAGCAATTTGCCTTAAGGCACGATGCCATACACCACTAGTTTCTTTTTTTTTGGCTGATATTGAGTAATTTTAATTAAAATATTAGCATCTATTTTAGTACTCTTGATTATACAGTATTCATATATATTAAACACTTTATTGATCAAATGATTTATTATTATTAATTTAAAAGCAAACTTTTATACAAGTACAGTTACTTATAGAATCACCTGGAAATAATAATAAGAAATGTTCTTTTAAATTATATTAATAACTTCTTTGTCCTTTGTTACTTCGGACAGGTTAAATTTTTGGCGCAAAATGCGTATACCTGAAAAAAATTACCTTTTATTAACTTCCCATAGGGTAAGGTATAGTAATCGCAAAAAAACTCGAAAATGAACATTTTTATATATCTTTACGTTTCAAAAGTTTCTTAACATTTTGGCACACCTTGGAAAAAATGAATGTATGCCTTCGTGCATTCCAGACTAGGTGTTTTGTCTGGATATGTTGGATTCTTATATATTGCATCACTTCATGGGGGGAGGCTCTAGAATTCTATGATTCCAACTTGTAATAATACTTTCGCCCTTATTGGTGCCATTCGCTCTTCTTCTTTTCAAGGAACGCAAGGCTATGAGTAAAGTGGTTTTTATGCTAGGTCTTTTGTCTGGGTATGTCGGACTCAAAAACCGACTGGGTATAATTTCGACTAAAACCTCCGCTTTGCCCTTGCCTCTGATCCACACGGAAACCGCCGTTAGGCATTACTTCGAGGGGGGAGGATCTAGAATGTTATCATTCTTACCTTGTTTTTATATTTATCTTTTAAATGAGCGAAATCCCATTTGCCCTGTGTGAAATGTGTATGTGTGTGTAAGTTTGTGTATGTATGTATGTGCGGATATAATTTTTTGTCGACGATTTCGAGAGCACGGATCAACCGATTAGAATGATTCAAAAAGACATTTTATTTGTATTGATGAAATTTAAGGTTGACAGAGATTAATTTAAATAAATTTTAATCTTTTATAATTTGGCCCTGATATTATTTTGTTAAGTGAGATTGGGTGATCTCCGAGGATGCTTTTGTACTTGAGTTCGAACTGCGTTTTTTTGAATAAACTTATTTATTTAATTTTTCTCTAGTTGTGTTAGAAAGGGGGTATCCATTAATCATATGAGGTTTTTAGAGGGAGGGAAGGGGTTTGACCAAAAATCACGAAATATCACATGGGTGTGGGAGGGTATGGTAAGATATCACGTGTATTTATTTTTGAGATGTTTGAGATTCCTTTATTCTTGTTTCAGAGAAAATCATAATGTAATCATAATAATGCATACATATTTCTAAAATTCTTTATATGAAAAATGTTTTGTTATGAATAATATATAAAGCCTCTTGTTATCATAAAAACAATATCAAAATATTTATATTTATTAATTTGCATAGCTCTAAGTAGCAATTATCGAAAATGACTAATATTACATAAATTTTATGTGCTTTTTTATAACAGTACATAATGATTATACATATTATATATTATATATACATATTATATATTTGCTAATGGGAATTGTTTATAAATAGTTCTCCTTAAATATCAACATTATTAAATCGCCGTTCTTAGAACAATAGGTGACTCAAACTCACTTTGGTTTATATTTTTTTTCACGGTTTCAATGGTTTCTTTAATTCATCACGTATATGTTCAATAAAATAGTATATTAGAAATATACACCGCAATTTTTTTTAACAAATTTATTTCCAATAACTCAATTTATTTTAATACCAAGGGTTATCAAATATTTTCAGTCATACCTGTAGATGTAGATGTATAAATAAATACTTTTTTTGTTTATTCACGACTAAAACATTAATTTTTCTAATTTATCACACAAAAATTCATCGTCTGCCTTTGTGATTTCTAGCATAAGATACACGTATTGGAAATTGCAGTCTTTTAAACAGTATAACGAATTCAGAAAGAATTAATATATAGTATCCGCGGTAAAGGTGCAATATCATATTTCAATGATTTTTTCACTCAAAATAATTGCTTCAATAATGTTGCCCATAATTTTTATAATCTTGTACTACATATTAATTGTTTTCAGTGATAATAATATCTAAATTACATTTTTCTTAATAATAATTTTATATACATTATTACTTAAATAAATATTTTAAGTGAATTCTTTTATTAAATCCACTTCATATGTGCACTATTCTATCTAAGATCAACGAAATTAGTGCAGTAAATGGAAAGGAAAAATGGTGTAACCTGTGAACTTTTTTACACGATTATTTTTAAAATATATATTTTTGGAGATATTTGTAAAAAACGATGCAAACCGCCAAAAAGAAACGAATTTTCAGTAGCCAGTACCTTGAAAAGTATTTGCTTTTTTGAAAAACATTAAACATTTTTCTCTTATAATTAGTTTTTTTTATCGATATCCGATGTTATACTGAAAAAAATAAAATTACACCACTGAGAAGGATTGTCATCTTGTCCTTCGGGAAGTGGCAAAGGAGTCTAAATTATTTTCACTTTTGAACTTGAGAGTAAGATGAACCTAATTCCAAAATTTCATACAAATTGGAGCACGGTAAAAAAGTTTAGACCCAAAACGCTCCACTGACTTGAATAAATATTTCGTATCCAATGCCAAACATATGAATTTTTGGCACAATGAAACTTCTAAATAATTTTTTGAATAAGTAAATTTTTTTTGTATTTTCTTTTAATATTTTTTTGTATTGTGGTTTAGTAAAGTGAGGCAAAACACGACTGCATTAGTTAAAAAATAATCTTTCAAGTTGAATTATTTAGGGTATATTCACTGTCAGTCACCAAATATATAATGTATCTTATATTATTTTAATTTTTGGCACATCTCAGCTGCTTTTCGACAATCGTAATGTAGACATTTTATTTTTGTTATTCATAATCATAAATATATTATATTTTAAAGTTGTCTTATTATTAGCTTATAAGCGAATTAAAATATTTGGTCTTTATTTGTTTTCATTGCCGAACAATGCCTCAAACAATTTCAATGTCAATAAGCGTTTTTTTGCATTTTTTTCCATTTATTTCTACAATCTAACTATATTTCTATAAATCAAAAAATCTTAAAAAATTCCCTTAACAAACTTCAGATAGATTTATCAAAATCTGAATAATCGTTTAGGAGGAGTATTCTATCAAACATTATTACAGAAGAATGTTATATATATAAGATTCATCATGTAGACATATAATCAATATTTTTATTGCTTCTGGAAAAAAATTGTTATTACTGATTTTAAGACAATATCTCATACACAAAAACAATGCTTCAAATATTTTCAAATGTCAAACAATGATAAGTTGTTTTTTGTAATTTTTTCCATTTATTTCTACAATCTAACTATATTTCTATAATTCAAAAAATCCTTGACAAACCTCAGAAAGATTTATCAAAATCCGAATAATCGTGCAGGAGGAGTATCCTTTCATACATAATTACAGCAGAATTTTATATATAAGATTAATCATGTAGACATATGATCAATATTTTTATTGCTTCTGGAAAGAAATTGTTTAGCTGATTTTAAGACAATATCTCATACACAAAAACAACGCCTCAAATATTTTCAAATGTCAAACAATGATAAGCGTTTTTTTGTAATTTTGCCCATTTATTTCTACAATCTAACTATATTTATAAAAATAAAAAAATCCTGAAAAATTCCCTTAACAAACTTCAGAAAGATTTATCAAAATCCGAATAATCGTTTAGGAGGAGTGTACTTTCATACATCATTAAAGAAGAATTATATATATAAGATTCATCATGTAGACATATGGTCGATATTTTTAACTTTCTGTAGGGTAGTTATAGTAATGGGCCGAAAATAGAAAATGAAAATTTTTGCATTTCTCGACGTTTTAAAGGTTTCTGAACATTTTACTGGCATACCTCAGAAAACTAATGGATGTGTGTGTTTTGTATGTCCGCAATTTTTCGTCCACGTTTTTGGGCGCACGGATCAACCGATTTGAATGGTTTAAAAAACATTCGATTCCTATTGACAGGGAGATGTGCTGATTAGTTTTTGCCAAAGGCTGGTCCAGCCGTTACGGAGATACGGAGCAAAGAATGCAGAAAATACAAATCGAGTTTTTGAGAGAACGGAGTATCGGATTTGTATGATCCAAAAACATTCAGTTCGTAATGACGGGGAAAAGTGGCTATTAGTTTTTGGCAAATGTAGGCCCAGCGGTTTCGGAGATACAGAGCTAAATGTTAAAAAAATTACAGTTTTTGAGAGAACTAAGCGTCCGATTTAAATGATTCAAAGAACTTTCTGCTTGTTTCAATAAAATAATTGCTTTTGGAAAAAAAAATTGTTTCTAATTTTTTTTTCAATAAATATTTTTGTAACTTTGGATTAAAAATTGAAAAAATTACCCAGGCTAAGCACAGTCTAAGCGCCACTCTTGTGCAAAAATTTACCCAAGTGCGTTTAGACTGTTTTTGTACTGAAGCACTTTTTGAATTTTGTGAAAACTACTGAAAAATGTGAAAATGCCGCCAAGCCAAGCACAGTATAAGTGAAAATGTCGCACAGAATCATTTGCAAATGCGTTTAGACTGTGACTATACCGAAGCACTTTTTTAATTTTGTGTAAATTTGACGCAACTATTTTTTTGAAATTGAATTCGAAATGAAATGACGGTTGTTAATGTTCTGGAGATGAATTGATTTATGATTTACATTTAAGATAACAAAAATAATGAAAGTTACAGTATTTGTAATAATATATTTGAAAACGTTTAAAATTTCTCGAATATTTCATTACGGTACGGGAGGTTCCAGCAATTTGCCTTAGGGCACGATGCCATACACCACTAGTTTTTATTGCTTCTGGAAAGAAATTGTCATTCCTGACTTTAAGACAAAGACAATTTACAATCAAACATTTTTATTAAAAATAAATATTAAAGTAATAAAATTAAAATTACATAATCATGCTTTAGTGATGCTTTCAGATCCTTTCTTTTGTATCTCCTCCAATTCTTCACTTATCGACCTATTTGCAAATTCCAACCTGCTTTCAAGATCATTTATATTTTTTAACAATTCACAATAAACTTTATCGGTCCTTATTTTATTCTGCTTTTTGAAATCATTATTCATTGTCTTCGGCGAGCTTGTCATGTTTGGTTTAAGGCAATTGGTTAAATTAACATTCTCATTATTATCTTCTTCTTGGTCACAAAACTCGTCTACACATTTTGTAGATCCATTCAATTTAACAGGCGATGTTTTTTTTTCTAATTCTTGATTTTTATACTCGATCATATTCAATTTCTCTTCTTTCTGTTGAAGGAACTTCTCACATTGTCGTTTGACTTGCTCGATATATTTCAGATCTAAATCTGTGATTTGGGGTAATTTATAAGCGCTTGTCAAAGGTTTGGGGGATTCTTCAGTTTTTGTTGATGTGGCTGCTGATTCAGCAGATTTTCTGGACCTTATTGATAATGAGAACAAGTGGAATAGAGCGTTGAAATTTATATCGATTCCAAATGCCCAACTTGCAAATAAGATTAGGAATAGGAAAAGGAATATTAGAGCGATGGGGAATAGAATTATGTTGTAGGGCCATGGTATTGAATCTGAAATAAAAATGGAATTGTTAAACTATATAATTATATATGTATATTATAAAAAATAAGTATATATATATATATATATATACTGGCTGACCCGGTTTCTAGATTTTTTTTCAGAGTTTGGGCTTAAGTGAAAAACTAGGGTTGTTTTTTTTCAACTCCACATTATAAAAAAAAAAAAAAACTAGTGGTGCATGGGATTGTGCCTTAAGACAAATTGCTGGAACTTAATATAATAATAGTAATATTTGAAATTTGAGAATTTTGAATTTTTTTGAACATTTAAAAAATTTGAAAATCATAGTTTTTTTGAAAAATTTGAAAGTTTTTGAAAATACTGATATTTTTTAAGAACTTGAAATTTTTTTTGAAAACTCAGTTTTTAATTTTTTTTTAACTTCCCATAGGGTAAATTATAGTAACTGCAAAAAAGTCGAAAATGAAAATTTTTATATATCGTTACGTTTCAAAGGTTTCTGAACATTTTGGCATAATTGAAAAAAAAGTTGTATGTGTGTGTGTATGTTTGTATGGATACAATATTTCGTCCACATTTTCGGGCGCACGGATCAACCGATTTGAATAATTCAAAAACCAATCGAATCCTATTGATAGGAAAAGTAGTTTTTGGCAAAGGCAGGCCTAGCCGTTTTGGAGATAACGAACTAAAGTGAAAAAATTGCGCTTTTAGGTAGGAGGTGAAAAATTGGGGCTATATCTATCTTTTTTAATTACAAGCTATAAAAATATAAAGGAAATTGGTTCAAAAATTAAAAAAGGAAGTTAGAAAATTAAGTGGACAATCCTTAATCAAAGTAAAGGATTTTGAAGAAAAATTTAAGGTTTTCTAGTTAAAAGTTAGTGAAAATCGTCCATAAAAAAGACACTGATTGAAAAATGATTGAATTACTAAAATGATTATTACAAAATTAAGTTATTAGAGAGTGAAAATTTAGGATTGTTTGTATTTCTTAATTACTCATCATAGACAACTCTTAAGAAAAATATATTTTTTGGTAAAAACATTCCATCTTCAAAAATGATTTAATAGAAATTAGCGTAGAAGTATTTATAATTTATAAGTTATCAAACAGTATTAAAATGATTAAGTTATTAAAATGTTTATTACAATATAGAAGTTTGGTGTAGAAGGGTGAAAAATTAGGGCTAAATCTATCTTTTTTTTAATAACAAGCTATAAAAAAATAAAGGAAATTGGTTCAAAAATTAAAAAAAAAAGTATTAGAAAATTAAGTCGACAATCCTTAATTTGTCGACAAAATGAAGGATTTTAAATAAAAATTTATGCTTTTCTATAAGCTTAGGAAAATTGAAATTCAGTGCAAAATTGTTTAGTTGTAGCGCAGGACTAAAAATGATTGAAATACTAAAAGGTCTATTACAAAATCATGGTTTGTGGTAGGAAAATTAGGGCTGTATATCTTTTTTAATAACGAAATAAAGAAAATCGGTCCAAAAATTAAAAAAAAAAAATTAGGGGGACAATCCCTAATAAAAAATAATAGTGTATTAGAGAGAAAATATAATATTTTCTATAAGCTCAAATTGAAACTGAAATTTAGTGATGAAGTTCACAAAAATGACAACCTTTGATGAGTTATCGTGCAGGATGAATAATGATTGAATTACTAAAATGATTGTTACAAAATTGAGTTAAAATAAAGATAATTATTTATAAAATTTCTCATTAAAAATAGAGAAAAATAGATAGAATTATTCATGAAATCCCTCATTAGAAAAATAGAAAATTATTCCTAAAATTTCTCATTAGAGAAAAATAGAAAAAATAGAGAAAATTATTTTTAAAATTCCCCATTAAAAAAAATAGAGAAAAATAAGATAGAGATCTTTTTTCCTAAAATTTCTTATTAAAAAAATAGAGAAAAAAAAATAGAGAATTATTTATAAAATTACTCATTAAAAAATAGAGAAAATTATTCCTAAAATCCCTCATTAAAAATAAATTAAAATATAAAAAATTGGTTGAAAAAATTCAGATAATTTTTTAGGGGTAAACAACACCTAATAAATTTAATAAAAAAATGAAATATATATATATATATATATATATATATATATATTATATGATTATTACTATATAATGTGTATATGCTCTCCCCAAGTTTTTTGCTCCCCGTAGTCACAGGATGTGTCACCAAGCGTGTAAACATTTCCACAGCGACTATTGCTGGATTGACAACTTCAAAAGTTGTTTTACTCGTGACCCTAAAGTTAAAAAATTATTTTAAACCAACAAAATCATACATAACAAGTTTAAATTCAACTTACACATAATAATCTTTACAAGGATCTGATGCAAATGACTTTTTAAATTGGTAAATCATTTTTTCAACATATGACATTGATTCCACAGTGCATTCTTTGGGAATTGTTGGGTATTTTTTCATTGTCATCAAACGTTCTATTTCTTCTTCCTTCAAGAAAAGTCAAATTTGATATAAAAACAGTTGTAAATTGTACATGATGTAGTATAACTTACCATGTACATTTCATAATACGTCCAGCAATAAGATATAATCAGCAATAAAGCAAAAACTATTTGAAATGTCGAATGCTTGCTTACATACTTGAAATACAATACTAGCAACAAAAACACAGACGTAACTAAAAGCACTTTCACCTGGGTAAAATATTTGAAATAAATAAACAAACTGATAATTTGTTTTTATAATTTTTCTTACATGTGGTCTTTCCAAAGCCATCCAAAAACTATAATACCAATCATCAATCATGTAAGCAATTTTTTCGGACAGTCCTTCTTCTGAATTTGCAAAAACTTCTGTAATTATTCCATCAAGTTTGCGTAAATCTTCAGATGTTTCTATAGCACCCAAAATTTGTGGAAACTTTTCTTTTGATATCCGTAAGTGCAGGGTTCGTATAAAGTTATCTGAATCGTGTTCTCTCTAAAGGATAAAAGACAAATGGAATAAACATACAGTGACTAATAATTTTAAGGTATATATTTGTACCTTAAAAGCTGATTGTCTAAAAATCATATTCAAAAGTCTCTTATAATAAGGCATTATCTCTGCATTATTAAAACTGTCTTGTTTACTTGTGATGCATTTTTTCTCACTTGAAGGGGGCACAATTGCTAAATCTACTTGTTTTTTATTACTAAAAACACTCGGTCCGTCTCCCCAGGGATCCAAGGAATCATAACCAGATGATCCCGTACTTACATTAAATAAATTAAATAAGAAATAAATAAAAACTAGTTTGTCTGAAACAAAACAACAAAACATTATTTATTTGCATATGGAATTATAATAATTTCTTATACATACACAATGTCATTTTAACTAAAATAGAATTAATACTAATTGTAGATGTGTTATATTGAATTGTGCTTATGCGTAGGTGTGGTTGATAATACTAAATAAATAATTCAATGGCACAATATAACATATACATAAAAATGTTTTGCAATAAATCTAAGGTTAAGGCATTTTTGTAGCATGACGTAAGTCAGCTGTTTATTTTAACGGTTTTACGACCGTGTCGCGGAATGTTGGTAACATCACATTGTATCGGCTAGTGTTGATAACTTCACATCACACTGAAATAACTTTTAAACTGTCAAAGATTAAAAATACATTAATAATTAAATAAATTAATCATTACTATCGTATATTATTATTATTTTATCTAGGCATACATTAGTCTACTTATTTATCTTAATTTTATTATTTTTAACGTTTTAGCGTCGATGCTCTTCTTAGATACTCTTCTTTTATCTATGCGTCGATGAATGTTGATATTATTTTGTTGCTAACTTCACATCTCACTGAAAGAATTTTTGAACTGTCAAAGATTAAAAATACATTTAATAATATTAACAACATATTAATAATTACTATTGCATGTAATTACTACATTATCTAAGCATACATTAGTCTGCTTATTTTTCTTAATTTTATTTTTTATATATTTTGTCATTTTTTGTTTGACATAAGTTTTGAGGTTACAAACAAAGTTGTGCAATAAAAGTCAAAATTTAAATTCAATTTAAATTTATTCACTATCAATTATAACCAACTATATCAGCTTAAATAGGTAAGACATGAATTAAAAATATAAAAGTAGCCAAAATACGGATTGCTATAGCCTTAAACTTCTTCATCTTACATTTATCATAACCCTCAACCTGTTCTTGGTTTTTAAGACTTATCGTGATTGGTTTATGCTTTTCTTTCTTATGAAAGAATATGTATTTTTGGAGCCAACAATAAATCCATCTAAACTTTCTCTGTGCGGGATTGCTTCGGATTGCTACAGGATTTTCTATTAACGATGTATTGTCAGCATCAGACGAGTCCTCGGAATCACTAAACCAGATTTCGTCATCAGCATGCTTGACACCTTGGAAATAATAATAAATAATATTGTAGAAGGATAAAATATGTATAAGTGGGTAAAAATTATATTTACCGTTTTCATCACACCACAATTCATACTCCTCCGATATCCATTGATCATCACTGTCAGTCGACGGTTTTTCTACCTTGGGTACTGTTTTAACTAATTTTGGAGTATTTCGTTCATTATTTTCATATAACGATTCATCTCTTATATAAGGCCGTTTCTTGTAATTAATCCTAACTTTCGTACTCATTTCATTACTCGGGGAGTACTTACTAACTGAAAAAATCCTAACAAAAAATGTATAAAAAATGGTGAAAAAAATATATAGACATTTATTTGTTTTTGAGAGGGATACCTAGATTGTATATGAATTAAAATGATGGTTTTTTGTTTTTGTCACAGTGGTGACTAGATGGTAAAATGATAATTTTATCAAAGATTTTTTTTCTTTCAGGCTTGTGGATTAAGAATCAAAATGAATTCTATAACTAAATCCAGTGTAGGTATATTGCAAATTCAAGATATTCAGAAAAACATCAAAGAACCTCCTGCTTGCAGCCAAAACATTTCAAAAGTCTTGACGATAAATGGAAAACTTTTAGGTATTAATTGAAATTGACAAAATTGAGCTATGTAATATGATATATATATATATATATATATATATATATACATTATTTTTTGATAACATTTTATGTAACATATAATTTAAATAAGCAAAAAATAATAATAAATCTATATTTCACATCAATTATATACATTTGTGGCAATTGCTAATTGAAATAGTAAGCAAATAAATACATTAATATTATAATAATTATTATTTACTTATATATTTAATTATATATTTCTATTTACTAGATCAAGATGCAAGTCTCGATTTAGCAGAGCTGTTTCCTCCAGAAGCCCTAGGAGCAGAAAATAAAATAAATGAGACAAGCTGGACTTGTAAACATTGCTCCAAAACATCTTACAGCATATCTGATTATGCAAAACATTTAAAAACACATTTTAAATTGAAGAGCAAATCTGTTGATGGGGATAACCAGAAAATTGGTAAGTTGGATAAGAACCTAGTGTTAAAAATTAATTTAGTCTCTTATCCAAGTTTAAAAAGAATTTATTATTTTGAAGAATTGTTTGATGATTAAATTTTTAATAATGAAAAATGGACGATGTGATTATTTTTGAACTAATTTTTTATTAGACTGAAGAATATGTTAGTTATATTTCATATTTATTTTCAACAGCATTAATTGATTGTTTTGTATCATTGCTTAATGGTAATGATGTAGAAATTAATTCACTATAATATTTAAATCTTGTATTAAGTAATAAATTTAACTGCTTAAATAAAAAAACAATGAAAATATCACAAAAAAATCCAAGTGTAAGATATTCATAAATGTTTAATAACATCTCAAGATTTACTAGAAATTGTTTTAATTATTTATTTGTAGTCGTTATTTTGAAAAAAATAAAATAAAATTACACCACTGAGAAAGTGTAGCAAAGGAGTCTAAATTATTTTCACTTTTGCCCTTGAGAGTAAGATGAACCTAATTCCAAAATTTCATACAATTTTTTGTAATTTTTTTCATTTATTTCTACAATCTAACTATATTTCTATAATTCAAAAAAATCTAAAAAAAATCTTTTAACAAACTTCAGAAAGATTTATCAAGATCCAAATAATTGTTTAGGAGGAGTATATTCACATACATCATTACAGAAGAATTTTGTATATGATATATATATATATATAATATATATTATATATATATATATATATATTTATATTTATTTATTTATTTATTTATTATTTTAATCTTTTTACAGAGTGTGATATTTGCAGTAAAAAAGTTGCACAAATGTATCGACATTTGCAACAGCATACTGGAGAGTTCGCATGCCACTTGTGTTTAATGGTATAACATTTTATTTTAATAGTTTTTTATGTAAAAAAAGAATTTGAATAGTTTTTAATTCTCTTCTGTAATATTTTATCGCTTTTTATGAACTCAAACTTATCTCAATCAATTAATAAATATTAAATCATAAGCTGTAAATGGAGATACATTTTATATAAAATATCTAAATGTTATTTTATTACGTTGAAGTATTAACTTAAATAAGTATATTGGCTTGTTGAATATTAACTTACAATAAATATATTTGCTTAAATAAGCTGTTGTAGATAGTGTGGTCATAAGAACTATATTATAATAATCGTTTTTTAAATAGAAATTGTAAATAGCAATCAGAATAATATAATTTCATAATGTATCATAAAAAAATAAATAAACAAAGATAGTATTAAAAAACAAAAAAAAAAAGCTTCTTGAGTGAATTTGTAGTAAAACTGAATATATTGTTAGTTTAAATATTTTTAACTAACTCATTTACGTCTTTTTGTTTCTTTTTCAGAATCACAGCCGTAAAACCTACCTCACAAATCATCAAAAAACATGTAAAGATGGAGACGGAATCATTTTACAATGTGTTATTTGCAAATTAATTGTTGAAACGAGGAATGAACTTCGAGAACATCTAATAAAAAGTCATTGTGAACCTCCAGATATAAAAAATGATGTCGTTGTAGGAAATGGAGGATGTGATAATAAAAATCCTTCTATATTTCCTTGCTCATATTGCAAGAGATCGTATTCGAGGAGAAGTTTGTTGAGTAGACATGTTAGGACGAAACATAATATAGTAAGTATATATATATATATATATATATATATATATATATATTTGTATGTATTAGATGGCAGAGACTTGGATTTGTAAATATTTTGGAGAGCTTTGAACAAAGATTCCAAAAAGTAATAAAAAACATAAGTTTTTTTAAAAACCAAACTTCAATAATTTACTGTCGACGTTTTGGAACTAGGTACGTTCCATCTTCAGGACATCTGCCAAGAAACATGATCTTGATAAGATTTGAACAAACAATATATTTAAGAAAAGTAGAAGATGATGGATTTTTTATATACAAAATGAATAAAACTGTGGAAAAAATAATGTAGAAAAATGACAATATAATCAAAATGAAAACTATAAAATAAATGAGTGGATTATATAACTAAATATTAGAAATGTTAAAAAATTAGAAAGTTTTAAGAAAAGTTATAATTGATTATACACTAACACTTTTTCACTTAAAACGATTGAGTGTGATTGAACAAAAAAGAGTGATTTTATAAAATTTATCTTCACTTTCATTACTAATATTACTTTTTGGATTCCTTGTTTGAAGCTCTGCAATATATATATATATATATATATATATATATATATATATATATATATATATATAGTTGAAGTAGTCAAATAGTCAAAGTAAAAGAATAATAACTAATTATTAACATATTTAGTTATTATGTTTTGACATTGAATGTCTGTCATCATTCAGCATATTTTTACAATATCTCTGTAAATAAGTTTTTTAGATTTAAGTTATTCTATCAAAATAACTTAAATCAAAATAACTTAAATCAATGTAACTTTTTTCTGGTAATTGTTATTTATATTAAAGTAACACTTTCATAAAGTTTATTTTAAATGTTCTATTAAACTATTTTTTTATATATATCCCAACAAAGTACAAAACGTAATTAATATGTGAATATAACGTAACAGATGTAACCTCAAACATAGTCTCAAAAACGTAACACACTGTTACGTAACGATTTCGTTTTGTTACATAATGATTTTTTTAAATTTTAATTATTTTCTTAATTAGACATATGTCATAGAAAGCAAATTTTTTGATAAAAGCCTCAGAAATAATGTAATAATAAAAATATTGCAAAAAACTTTAAACTGGCAAATTGCTGGAACTTCCCGTACCAAAATTTTTTATTGTTAAAATAGATTACATTTTTTTCTTAAACTTTGAAAATTTAGATTTTTGAGAAATTTTACATTTTTGAAAAAAATTGACTTTTGGAAAAAAAAACTTTGAAAAAAATGTTTTTTTTCTTATTTTGAAATATTTTGGAAATTTTGAACTTTTTTTATTTTGGATATTTTGTGCCTCTTTGTGCAGTATTTTATTTTTATTCTAATATTTTATCAATTATATTCATCTATTTATTATTTTCTTCTAGTATGGATTGAATGCCGATGAAGAATGTTTAATATGCCATGTCAAATTTAATTCTGTGCGGACAGCTTTGAGACATAAACAAATTCATAAGAAAGGAAAGTTATTCAAGTGCTCGGAGTGCGATCAGTCTTTCCTTGATGTAAGTAGATTAATAGACCGATTCTGCCGCATAACAGACAAATGTTATGAAGAAATTTTCATGTAAATCCATTCTAAATATTGATAAAAGCCATGTGGTTGCTGTACAGTCAGGCGTATTTCTCATGTTATCAGATAGAAAATCTAACCTAGAAATTGCACAAATGTCAACAGATAACAGGTTCTTTCTGACTCGGGTTCATAACATACGAGTGACGTTGCAGATTATGTATAAAACACCTGAATGAACAGCAAATACATGACATTTTGATAGTATTCAGTATGATTTGGTAGCATAATGTATGGAAGTTGGAGCGTAACATGGCCTTGCCATAACATTATGCTGTTATCGGCCTATACTTTGTTCTAGAAACTAAAGTAACATTTCACAAGAAACAAATTCATAAGTGAAATAAGATCAAAAAATAGTTTTTAAGAAAAAAGATTTAATAGTATTAATTCACATTATGTTACGGTAAATGTGCACTCTTGGTGAATGTGCACATTCACCAGTGAATGCGCACATTTCCCTAAACGCTAGGTGAATGTGGAGTTCTCAAACAATCAAATTAAAAGAATGGTGTACGTGCGTACTTGGATCGGTCTCATGAACATCTAGCGTATTTGGCACACTAAATAGTTAATAGTAAATAGTTGAATAGTAAAGTAGTAATATAGTGTATAGTGAATAATTAATATTAAATAGTTAATTGTTAGTAAAATAGTAAATAGTGAATAGTGATAACTGAATAGTTAAATAGTTAGTAGTTGAATATTGAATAGTTAATAGTGAATAGTGAATAGTTATTAGTAAATAGTGAATTTAGAATAGTTAAATAGTGAATAGTAATATTTAAATAAATAGAAGTAAATAGTTTAAGTAAATAGTTAATAGTTAAAAGTAAATAGTTAAATAGTAAATAATAACTAGTTAATGGTGAATAGTAAATAGTGAATAGTAAATAGTGATAA